TGGTATAAATTAGAACAAACTTGGTTAAAATTTTAGAACTAACTTGTTATAAAATAGAACTAACTTGGTATAAATGAGATATAACATGGTATAAATTAGGTTTATAACGTGGTTTAAATTAGAACTAACATAAATTAGATATAACGTGGTATAAATTAGATATAACGTGTAATAAAATAGAACTAACAAGCCATCACACGCTACAGACTTGAACTAACACTGTGCAGAATAGAACTAACACTGTGCAGATTAGAACTAACACTCTACAGAATAGAACTAACACTGTGCAGATTAGAACTAACACTCTACAGAATAGAACTAACACTGTGCAGATTAGAACTAACACTCTACAGAATAGAACTAACACTGTGCAGATTAGAACTAACACTCTACAGAATAGAACTAATACTGTGCAGATTAGAACTAACACTCTACAGAATAGAACTAACACTGTGCAGATTAGAACTAACACTCTACAGAATAGAACTAACACTGTGCAGATTAGAACTAACACTCTACAGAACAGAACTAACACTGTGCAGAATAGAACTAACACTCTACAGATTAGAACTAACACTTTACAGAACAGAAATAACTTGGTATAAATTAGAACTAACTTGGTATAAATTAGAACTAACTTGGTATAAATTAGAACTAACGTGGTATAAATTAGAACTAACGTGGTTAAAATTAGAACTAACACTCTACAGAATAGAACTAACACTGTGCAGATTAGAACTAACACTCTACAGAATAGAACTAACACTGTGCAGATTAGAACTAACACTCTACAGAATAGAACTAACACTGTGCAGATTAGAACTAACACTCTACAGAATAGAACTAACGTGGTATAAAATAGAACTAACACTGGACCCAGATGAAGTCCCCGGCGACGTCCACCGTGGCTTTGAATATTGAGTTGTGGGGGTGCCGAGCGATACAATTGTGTTATAGGTGCCGATGTCGCCGAGGGAAGCGGGCGGTGGCCTGTTGGCAGCTGCACGAGGACTCAAGAAGAGGAGAACGGCGGCGGCCGTGACGATGAAGATAGAGAGACGAATAATTAGCCATGAGTAATTTGAAAGAGGAGTTGGTCAAAAGAGAGCTAATTAATTGCAAGAGAGAATTATATACGAGGATCAGTTGTTTGTTTGTTTGTGATGTAGGAGATGGATATTGATGTGAGAAATTAAAACACAGAGGTTGATGGCCTTTATATAAGATGAGCTAGAGATAATTAATGCATGCAGAAGTTGGATTATGCTTCTATTTTGATCACGTAATCAGCTGCATGGCTTAATTACATAAGCTCGGCATTATGTAATTTGAGTTACGTGAGCATGGATTAGGAGTATAATATGTTCATGTAATGCAAGGATAACGTAATCTCAATCCGATCCATGGAAAAGGAAACTTTTGAGTGTGTACGTTATTAATGTTAGTTCTAATAGGGTTCAAAAGTGGCAGGCGCAACGACGAACTCCGGCGTAGTCGAGGGCGAGACGGGGAGCGACGGCGAGCTACCGCGACGAGGTCGGGCGGAGGAGAGGAGGGGAGGCGGCGGCGAACTCGGGGGAGGCTTGGGAGCCTGGGCGGAGGTGGCGACGGCGAGGAGGGCGAGAGCCAGAGCGACGAGCTTGAGAAAGCCATTGTTTTTAAAGAGAGGGGGGAGAGAGAAGAGAGAGAGAGAGTGAGAGAGAGAGAGAGAGAGAACTGGGTTTGAAGGATTGAGGAGAGAGGATAAGGTTATTTTGGGGATTTTAGCTTAGTTGGCATGTAACAATTGTTAAAAAGGGACTGCAGCACAAAAAGTCACACTTCAAGGGGCTGAACCACATGGGGGAAACTAGGAGGGGCTGCAGCACATGGAGTTTCTGTTTTTGGGGCCTGGACACATTTTTCCCAAAAAAAAGAGAAGATTCATTGTCTCATGTTTTGTTCTAGAAACACGAGAGAGACAAGTGGCAGTCCAAGTTGCGTCCTATGAACTTTTACAAGAAGCCCAACAATCTCACGTGAAGAAAACACCCACACCCTCCCCGGGCGCGTCAAATGAATACGTCGTATGATCGTATCCAGTCAGCCTAAAAAGTAGAAGGAGAGACGGCCCATTTACGCTTCCCAGAGCTCTCAACGAACTAAATAAAAAGACCCCAAATTCTTCACTCTCGCTTCCCTCAATTATTTGTCGTCAGTATATATCAACTTCGACGCTCTCTCTCTCTCTTCCCCTCTCTCCCTAGCTTGGATCCCGATCTCTCTGGGATCGAGACGAGCAGCTCCTCCCCTGCGATCTCAATCAATTAAGGTTTTCAGACGAAATCGAGTAAGAATTCGTCCCTTCTGTTTGTTTTCAGAAGTTGGATTTGGTTTGGAACGGAGTCAACAGGGTCGGTGGAATCGGGAAGAGAAGCTAGGGCGAGGTGAAAAGATGGGGGATTCGAGCTTGGTGAATCTGGAATCCTTGGCGGAGGCGGCTTCGGGGGCCGCGGGGGCCCTCGTCAGCACCACCGTGCTGTATCCGCTCGACACCTGTAAAACCAAGTACCAGGCCGAAGTCAGATCCAGCGATCGCCAAAAATACAGGTCCCGCTTCTTCGATCCCCGCGTTTTTTAATCCCTTGCATGGCCCAGGCTTGTTTCTTGAAGTACTGCTGTTGTTCGATACGACCCGATTCCGGCGTCTCTGACCTCTTTATAATACAGGAATTTGGGCGATCCTCCAAAAATTTTGAGATTCTTTACTGCACGTACGCGTTTGCAAAAAAAAAAAAATTTTTTTGGGGGGAAAACAGTTAGATGCGTGATATTATTGAGGTTCCAAGGAATCGAGGCCTGTATGGTATAGAGGTTCTTCTAGATCAAGTGTTTTTTACATGGCTGGGTTGCATGATTAAGACGTCATGGGTCGTTGCTGGTTGACTCTGAGAATTTTCGGAGTTTTTCTTTTTCTTTTCTTATAGAAATGCTAGGGAAGATGAAACTAGAGGAAAATGAGAGGCGCTTGACATGAGGCAGCAGGGCATCGATGCGATTCCAGAGCTGAACGGGAGCAAGTTCAGACTAGCCTTGCTGATGGGATATTTAAATCGACCCATTCTGGCTTGATCGAGTTGGTACTGGAGGTGTAACACGGGAAAACCATCTTCTTTGGGCATTCGTGACGCGCAAATTTTCCTATTAGAAAAGGATATAATTTAGGATGAGTGAGAGGGAATAGAATCAACGTGCTCCTCGAACCTTCTTGTTTCTTTCTCAAAGCATCTGTGCTCCTCAAGCCTTCTTGATTCTTTCTCGAAGGATCTTGAGTGCCCCGACTTACGTGCATGGCAAGGTTTTAAGGTTTTTCCCTCGGGCAGCAGCAAAATTTTTCTATGTTGTGTAAGCTTTCGTCTGCACTAGGAAAGTGTGCTTCTACACATTACTTACGTCTTGGCTGCTGGTTACGCCTGATGCCTTGTTTGACTAGAAGAGTTAAGATGTAGTAATTTTAGAAGTGGAGTATGATGGAATCTTATATCTCATCATAGTAAGACTAATTCCATCAAAGAGATAAAATTACAAATAACAGATATCTCTGAAAGATAGATATAGTTCCCATGATATTTCAAACAAAATACGAACAGAGGACTTTAGTTTCTAATCTTTCAGTTTTTATATAGTTGGGCGGAGTTCGTCTTCACTCTAGGTTAAGTCTTGTTAGTGGTCTTAAGTAGTTATTATGATCTCAGGGCCTCAAATGGTTTCACATATAGTGCGACCCTTTGTATAGCCCGTGTGTTTCTCTGATCTTTCAACTTGTAAACTAATCTCCAGTCTATAGTACAAAGTTCTACCGCATCAGAAAATTTTTACTCTTTCAATTTAAGCCTTGTAATGGTCACCATGGTGTTTTGACGTGCACTTCAAAGTCACATCCCATTTTTTATCGAACAAGAATCTTCTCCTGTCCTACAAATAACTATAGTGGGAAGATAGATACTTGGATGTGCCCCTTGTGGTTATTGCATTGTTTTTCCTGCCACAAGAAAGAAAAAATGGATATAGTTTATCTGGTGAGTGATTTACTCCTTCCAATAAAAAAATAAAGTGATGAAATTGTGGATTCATCTAGTTAGATTATGGTGTTTTTTTCCCCAGACGTCATTCCCCCAGCTTGCAATGTGAATCCTTGATAATGCTTGTGCAAAAGAATTCATCCTTTCCTATAAACATAATCTCAAGGTGCTTTGCTGCTTCATTAGAAGCTCAAATCCGCTCGTAATGGAGAGCACAAAGTACCTAGTCTGTCCTAGATACGTCATGCCAGCAATTAAGGCACAGGCTGTACTAGCCAACATACATCATGGTTTGTCCAATTGCAAAATATATGTTGATCACGACAGATTCTTGTTCTCTTTGATATAGCTATCTACTTCACTGAAGTAATTATACCTCATTTATTAGAGATGCGAATGTATCATCTATTCCAGAATGTTTATTATTTATTCCAGACAGATGATTTGCATGTAATAATTCACTGATCCTTATCCTTTTTTTAGTAATTATACCTCATTTATTAGATATGCGAATGTATCATCTATTCCAGAATGTTTATAATTTATTCCAGACAGATGATTTGCATGTAATAATTCACTGATCCTTTTCCTTTTCCCCCCCTTTTCTTCAGGAATATTTCAGATGTGCTGTGGGAAGCAATTTCTACTCGTCAAGTTCTTTCACTCTACCAGGGGCTTGGAACAAAAAATTTGCAATCATTCATATCACAATTTATTTACTTCTATGGTTATAGCTATTTCAAAAGGCTGTACCTGAAAAAGAGTGGAGTCAAATCGATCGGAACAAAAGCAAACTTGGTCCTTGCTGCTGCTGCTGGTGCTTGCACTTCTATCATCATACAGGTGGGTAAAATTTCCACATTATGTAACTTAGTCGGAATTTTATAGCGTTTTAAAGTTCCTGATTTCTGTCTATACACATAGCCATTGGATACTGCATCATCCAGGATGCAAACAAGTGCCTTTGGGAAATCCAAGGGGTTATGGGAAACTCTTTCAGAGGGTTCATGGACTGAGGCATTTGATGGGCTAGGCATCTCTCTTCTCTTAACTTCGAATCCCGCTATTCAGGTACTATTTCATAGTTGTTATTTCTCTTATCATCACGTATACCATCTTTCAAATTATATGATTAGCCCATTGCTTAATTTTGCACAGTGTTCAGGGCAACCTATTTCTTACTTGAAGAAGTCTTTCTGTATGGATGATAATTTGTCTTCTTGGATTTGTTTGACACATTAGAAGTTATCTTCTAGACTGATAATCCACTAGCAGTAATGAATCATTTGGATGTTTCACTTTTAGAACGAGTACATGTATGTCTTGTCTGGGGTAAGGTATCAACAAATATTTCTCCATTTTTCATTCGCTGATCGCAGGCACTGAATTAACGTGCGTTAGCCGTGTCTACTTTCTTTTATAATCATGTGCAAATCTGGGTTGCATACAAGTTAAGGCAGTATGTTTTAACACCTTGGCCAGCTTGTACACCCTCCATGCTTCATACTTTCTATTTTTTATATTTGAAAACCTCCAACTGAATATTAACCATCAAAATCAAATTCATAATTTGGTTTTCAACATGTTAGCATTATCTGATAGTTGCCACTTTCTTTTAGTGATTAATATTTCCATGGCATTACTGTGTTATTTTTGACGACACAATCCTGTCATAGACTCAAGGGTCGGTCTAAACTTTAACCTATTCAAGTTTTTGGTAATGGATAATTCGGAAAACTGGTATGTTTCTTGCTGCTGGGCATTCCTACAATGTCAGGGATGATTGATCTTTGCAGATTTAATATACGTCTGACTTCTTGGTTTTTATTGTCAAACTAAAACATATTGCTCAATTGTCACAGCAATTTGGTACTATTTAGTGGCAGATGTTATGGAATAAGACAATTTAAGTGCGGGCATTGCACAGAGCTGTTTCTCATGTTCTTCTGCTCATAATGATTCCACTTTCCGATGTAGCTTTCATGTCGCAGATAACCAAATAAAATACCTCCCGTAGATTTTTCCTGACATTTTAATACCGTATAGAAAAGGAACAATTTTTCACTTCAGCCCCATTCCAATTTTTTATTATTGAAATCGACCCCTTTTTTTATTACCAAAACCGACCCGATTTCGTGATTAGCAGCTTAATCACCTTCCTAATTAGTCAGGGTTGTCAACCCCGACTATTTAGGACATTAATTTTTAGGGTTTAAGGCTTCTAATTAGGGTTTAACACTTTTCTAAATAGTCGGGGTTGGCAACCCCGACTAATTAGGAAGGTGATTAAGCTGCTAATCAAGAAATCGGGTCGGTTTTGGTAAATAAAAAAAAGGGTCGATTTCAATAATAAAAAAAATAAATGGGGCTGAAGTGAAAAATTGTTCTATAGAAAAGTATAAGGATAAAAGTAATCCTATATCTTCCATGCTAAGTTTTGGAAAAGAGATAAGCTTCATGTGTCCTAAGCCAGATAGGGTCCTTGTATTTCATTTCTTCTCTTTAAGCATAGACAGAAGCAATAGCTGGTTTCCCTATTGCTACACCCAAACTTTTAGCAGTTCATAGACTAAGTTGGTATCATATCTTAATAGTTATAAATGTCCTCCTATGCCATAAGTGGATTTGTCCACTTCCAAATGGTATCTTCTAGATCACCACTTTTATATCTTTCTTGATCTCGCCTACAACGTTCGTGGCACAACCCATAAAGCTAAATAATTTATATTTTATGAATTAGGGTCCCTTTTAATTATGTGAAACTACTCTTTCTTCTTCTTCTTCTCCTCCATAGTCTTCGTTTTCAACATGTCCGGTGTAAGAGGAAATATGGGAGGACAATATCTTATACCTGTAGGTAAATGGGCAGCATACTTCTGAGTAATTCAGTTGCATATCTATATATAAGCTGTACCTGGTTTCCTGTTGCTGTATCCAATATTTCCACAGCTTATAGACCAAGTTGGTGTTATATCACAGGAATTAAGTTTTCTTACACTCAAAATCGGGTATGACCTTGTGAGTTGTGTCACTTCCAAATGGTATCATTCAGTTAACAACTTTCACGTCTTTCTTGGTCTCCCCTATGACATGCATGACACCATTATAAAGCTATAACTTCTCTTGTATGAACTAGGATGCTTTGAAAGTCATGTGACATTACCTATGATGCATGGGTACTTTGGAGCTGTGCCCATGTCGTACCCGTACTCAACACCGAAACTTCGGTGAATAGGGGTGGAGCCATGTATGGGCCAAATGGGCCTTGGTCCCCCCTTGAAAGATAAAAGAAGCCTAAGTAGGTATACTGGCAACTAGCAAGCTATGAAAGTAATACTGCCCTACTTCTTGCTTACCTACTCGCGTAGTCTGTCTACCTTCCTTGTTTTAGCTCTGTGTCATAGCTCACTACAATGGAAAGCTAAGCCTACAAAAGCACATAGCTAAATGATACAAAACGACTAGATGGAAGGAAGCAGATGAGCGAGGAAGTACTGAAAATAGCTGAGAGCCTATTCTATGTGCTAAAATGTGTTCACCGTTCATGAAATTGCTAGTGTATTGAACATCTTAAACTCAATTTTCCTAATAAAGAGGAAAAACATGATACTACAGCTATTAGTCCTTGACAAGAGCTGTAGTGTCCAATCATTTTGTTTTTTAACACCTCTCACATCATGCACATTTGCAAAAGTACCCCCAAGTCTCAATAGTTTCAAAACTACCCGTAAATCATCAACTTTGGGGAGGGAAAAATACCCCTAAATCAACAACTCATTAACATTGTTGTATGAGTAAATATTTGAGTTTTTTTAGTATTTTTTGTTTTGCAATTGCATATTAGCATATCAAAGTTAATGATTTTGTTGATTTAGGGGTATTTTCTTCAAAGTTAATGATATGGGGATGGTTTTGCGAATCCTGATTGCTGAGGGTTAGTTTTGCAATTATGCATGATTGGAAGGGTCTTATAAAAAACCAAAAATAAAAAGAATCATCAAGTAATTGGTTAATAGTGATTTTATAAATCATAGAGGTAAAATTCAAGACCACTCAAACTTTCTCAAGACTCCTCTTTTCCTGTCTCGAGTTGTGAATAGATCGCGAACAAATCGTAAGTAATTTATGTTTTTCACGAGTGTTCTCTCTATTATCATCCATAAAGATCTAATCAGATCTCAACCTTCTCATCCACCTACATTCTCTCATCCCCCAACTCTCATCTTTAACCAGATCTCATTCTGGTTTGCGCTCTGCTTTTTTCCCCCTCTTTTGGTTTGGACTCTCCTTGCTAAAATTCCTGGCTCCGCCACTGTCAGTGGACACTCCGTGGGATGTTTGCATTCGCTTATTCAAGCGTGTATAGTGTACTCAATTATATAATAAATGTATTAAGTTAAAACACTTGTCATATACTTCTTGGACGTATTGTACACCTCACATGCGATTCTTGAAACTCCTTGAACACAAGTTGGGTTCGTTTCAGCTCATACTCAGTTTAAAACTATGATTATAAAGTGTCTTTCGGATATCAAGTAAAAGGCGAGCAATTTCGTAATATATAGATCTATATTAAAAAAGAAACATACAAATGTTATATGAATTTATTTTGTAGCATGTGGAATGAAATAATTGATCTCATGTAAAGTTTTATTATACATGCACTTAT